TACAGTGAATGAACTGCATGCTTGTCCACACAACCTGTTCATTCCTGTTTCACTCCTCCTGCTAGCACAACTAACTAAACAATCCAGAAGTCATTTATTTAGCATGTCATCTGAGCCTAACATTCTGGCCTGCTGTTCCCAAACAATCAGGATTCCTAAGTCCGCTGTACAATCCTGGCTTGTCAAGGGATCAACAAACCAAGAGCTCAGGTTTGGCTGAACTGCCAAGGAAGCAATTTTATTTTGCTTAGCCAGTTGTATCAGAGGGACTGGAAAGAAGCAGGAATGAACAGGCTGTGTGAAGCCACGTGCAACTCATGCCCAGTAAACATGCATTCTCTAGAATCCAAGCTGACTGTTCTGTACAAACACTCCACCATCTCCTGAATGGGCTGTGCACATACATTTGAGTGTGTAATCTCCAGGTTGCAACCCAGCACAGTTTAAGCATAGGAATGCAAAGATCTGGCCAGAATCCAGCTTTCCTACACTTGCAGGACATCTTTCCTTTGCTCAGTCCTGGCCAGGGAGCAAACCAAGCTGAGATTAAGCCCACAAACACTCAGGAACACTTCTTCGTGCAAAGTACACACATTTTTGCACCAAGTATGCAAAGCCTCCATATCACATGTGCAGAAGCAGAACTCCACTTGCATAGCAGGTACACAGACCATGGGTGTAAGGTGAAAAAGCCCAGTCTCTTGCCTGGACTTGCTTCTTGCCAGATGCCCACACAGGTGCTCAGCACAAGGTGAACTTAGGGCAGAGATAAAGCAGGGCATATGTACTGTTGGATCTAATCAGAATACTTGTTGGAGTAGCCCAGCTCAGGTCTTGAAATACTTGCAGACAGGGCTGTGCATGTTTCAAGTATACTGGAATACTTTCCCAAGAGAAATGCTGGATTTGCACATGGAAAGTATGGATATCTGTCCTGAAGACATCAGGGCTTTTCCCACTTGTAGCACCCGGCACCTGTCTGCTCAGGAGCAAGTGAGTGTAGCACAGTATCAGAAATCTAGACATGCCTATTATGTATTTTTTGCTGCTGCTGGAGAACCACTGGATGGGACAATTGTCTCCAAATGGCATTACCCACGTCTTTTTCTGTGGAGCATTTCTGGTTTCATGTTGTGGGGTTGCTGGTCTGGTTTCTTTTCATGCAGCAGAAGAAAAATGTCAGGGCTGCTTTTACTGTAGGAGTATGTTATTGGTGAACCTTTTCCCAGAGAGGAGTAGGCTAGGTGCTAGGGATGGATGGAGTACTTGGATGTACTGTTGGATCTAATCAGAATACTTTTTGGAGTAGCCCAGCTCAGGTCTTGAAACACTTGCAGACAGGGCTGTGCATGGTTCAGGTATCCTGGAGACAACTGTCCAAGTAATACAGGGTGCAGCACATGAAATGCCTGGAATCAGAGAATCCAAGTCACAGGTTAGGCTAGCAGTTCTTCAAGTGCTGCTAGCTGATTGTCTGTGAGGGGCTCAAAGGAGACCTACTGCCACAGGTATGTGTAACTAACTCAACTTCACATCCCTCCAAAGTAGCAGAGGAGTAGGAAGCTTGTCACAGAGTGCCATGGTATGTGGACTGACTCTTAAGTGCTTTTGTGAGTCCTGATCTTCCTAAACATTTTCTTAAATCCATGCAGCTTTTGCATACACTGTGCAGGGGTGCAAGAGTAGCCCTGTAGTAACATGGAAAACCTCACAAACCGATTTTTATGGCTTGTGTTCCAGAGGTGCTTTTGGGCCTCTGGACTTATCCAGACATATGCAACTGTGCCTATTTCAGGCTTGATGCAGAAATGTGTCCAAATAATCATGCTGTTTCACTCCCTCCAACTTGGCCAGGGCTCCAGATGCATTGGAGCCGACTCCCACAGCACTTGCTGGAGGGATCTTATAAGAAGAGTATGGCTGAGTTCTTGCCATCTGCCTCCTCCATAGTTGGAGCAAAATATGACATGAAACAAACCTTGCTGGCTGCAAAGGCTTTAGCACCTACAGCCACTGCTTCTGGGTTGAAAGTAGTTCCCTGCATAGGGTCTTATGGTGGAGGATAAGATATGGATCCAATGGCTAGGCAAGTCAGTTATGAACAGTGGGAATATTTTACCAAAACAAGGGTGATGATAGTATCAGTACCATCTATTGCCTAAAGGGAAAGCATTTTTACACACAACATTATGTTGCAGGATTGTACAACATAGAGTATGAAAGAACTGCGTAAGAGCTTTTTTCCCCAATATAATAGGATTTTCCCCCAGTGAATGCCTTTTCCGCCATGAATGTTTCCCATTGCCTTTCCATGGGTGACTTCTATGGGACACTTTGCTGTAGGGAGGGTGGAGAAAAGACAACAGGCTTCTTCCAGATTGCCATGCAGATTGCACAGAGGTGGCTCACAGGGGTGTGGAAAAAGCTACTTTGCTAACGAGTGAAGTGGCAAAGGACTGTAGGGGCTCGGGGAAGAGGCTGCTGGGAAAGAAAGGCACATGCAGGTTTCTTGATCAGGAACTTTGGGACACAAGTGTGCTCATAAGGAGTGGTGGTGGTTTTGGATGTTCTTGGATGTGGCACTTTTCAACAAGCCTCAATGAAATCAGGCTCCCAGGCTCAGATAACATGACAACCCCTAGAACAAGCCATGAATTGTCAGGGTGGCCCTTTTGCAAAAATTAAGCCACCCTGCACTAGATGCGCCTGGTTTGGACAACATGACAGTTCATTGCAACTACCTGCCCAGGATGGGCCATTATGTTGTGCAAATTAGTAGAAGTCAGAAGAGGCTGATGAACCAGAGAGACTGTTTATTAATTTTATGAGTGGCGCCCTTCCTCTTGGCTGAAGATCTCTGCATTACAAAGACAGATCCTGGATCCAGCCCCCAAGAGAACAGACGCTGACTCAAGTTACTAAAGAAAGACAGACATGTGCCAGTGTACCTTGTTATTTGCTTCCACTATTCTTGTTCTCAGCCTTGGCACTGATAATCATTTCTGAGGCTAAGCCCACCCAACCCCTGATTCAGATTACGTTCCACCTGATGCCTCATTGGCAGCTGCAAAACTTCACTGGAGTCAACTGGAAAAACGAGATGAAATCAGTTTTGAAGTGCTGAGACCATTCATAAAGGATTGGGAGGATCCTGTAGGTACACATTTACTACAGCAGTCTGACTGTTTTTCCACTCCAGTTTCTTATCTCTTATCACAAGGTCAGCTTCTGGAATTCGCACTGATCTTCTGTTTTGAATATCTACCAGAAGTTGTCATGTAGGCTAGACCCGTTGTCTGTCACACACAGCTGCACCATGCCAGCGATAAAGCCACTCAAATGTGTTTTCCTTGTGCCTAAAAATAGGGTTTGATGTTGGACAGGTTGTTTTTTTATAATAGGAAATTATTTTTTAAAAGAGCCAGTCTCAAGTGGTGTGGTTAGAAAATCAATCATAGCTGCAGGAAAGTCCTTGCGGTAATATCTTAAAAATTGGCAACTCTGTTAGGATCTAATCTTGTACTGGTTGAGACAGAAAAAAGTCCTTAGCCCTAACAGCTAAGACTCACAGGCCATGTATCTGACGGAGTGGGCTTTAGCTCAAGAAGCGTTGTGCCAGCAATTATCTGGCTGAAAATTATGGGAATTGCAATGCATCTTCTCTGGTGGACAGCACAATGGGGAAGGCTACCATATAATATGATTCTCAAAGACTGGATCAGGCCACCTACAGGGTAGGAGCAGACTTCTGGCAGAAACCCTGGGAATTAATTCCTGCCCTGACTGGTTTATGAATGAACTGCCTAGGTGATGAATTGTTGTACCTTCCTTCAGTCCCTCAAAATTTGTCAACTACCATGATTTTTCATTTGTCCTTACTTGGGCCATGAGGATTCCTCTTGGGTATTTCACCCATGAGATTTCATGCCACCCAACACCAAAAATATTTGGGATAGATTAGTTGAGTTGCATTTTCCCAGCAAGAAAAGACCATCATTTGAGTTCTGAGAAAATGCAATATTTGACTTCCCAAACTAATCTACACTAAGACATTTCAGTTCCATGCAACACATGTTTAACAACTGAATGTGTCTTGACCTATAAATGAATTGGTCTGAAAAGGCCACGTGAGGAATAATTGACATTTAATATATTAATTAAAAGGAGTAGAAATATGCTGGTAACCATTTAGTTTTCAGTTATTCTTACCAGGCATGAGTTATGGCCAGTACATTGTGGATTGGGCAGGGAAGTAAGAGCAAGTCTTTTATTGTGACTGAACAGCTGCACAATAAAACATCTTGTATTTTTAGTCAACAGGGGTATATAAACTGGTTCTCAAGCCACAAGGTGGGGGGTGGGCAGGGAAGTGGGAGGAAAAATGAAGACCCAAACTTAGAAACAATGGGGGAACTCTTCTCTATTTTGAGTGGAGGTTTTTAAAAATAGTTTTAAAGCTTTGGGGCGTTTTAGTCTAAAGGCTTCCAGATCTGATCTAAAAAATTGGAGTGCTTCACTCAATATTCTTTTGATCAAAGGGATAAGTCCTGACTTTTCCAAGAACTCATTTTAATGGTAAATTAGCAGATGATGCAGCCCACATCTGCTACATGCAGCGTGCATATTTCTTCAGATATGCTGCTCAAGTGCTCAACCCTCACACGCAATAATATTTACAAACCCATTGGTATTGCTATGAAATAGGGTTTTGTTGGTGCTGAAAATGGTGGGTTCAAAATAATTGTTTCACATGCTGAGGCTGCCTTGTACCCTGTATTTTGGAATATTGTCTGTTATGACTAGCCTCACCTCCATGGCAGCCATTTTGTGAGGGTGTCCAGGGCAGTTTCTGAAATGTGCCCACTAGCCAGTAACACCTACCCCTCATGTAGCTAAGGATGATTCCTGGTTTTAGTTACTGCCAGTTTTGCTTTTTCAGAACTGCAAATGTGTCGCTTTTGTGTGTTTCTTAACCTTTTACTTGTTTTTCTTTGCTTCAGGGGGTCTCTGCAGTGATGGCTGGCCGCGGAGAGACTACCAGTCCTGAGAACAACACGCTCAAATATTCTGGCCAGGAAGGGCTGTATTCAGGTGTCAGCCTGACTTCCACTGCAGAAGTGACCGCCTCTGTGAGACAGGATCCTTCCTGGTGTGCCTTGACTCTCACATGAATTGCTGACAAATCCATGGTGCTGGATACTTGCACTGGGCAGCCGCCATCTACACTTGTCTTGTGTATTTTGTTGTTGTTGTATCAAGCAGCCCAAGAAGCAATGAGAATGATGGCAGGGTCATTCCTCGCCAGTCGTATCTGTGCCTTGATTTTAGAGGTGTTTACTTCCCTTCCCCCATCCCACTGCCTTTGTTTGATTGCCCAGGTCCTCTGCTATGCAAGACATCAAGGGAGCCCAAACCGCTTCTGTTAGCTCTCGAGGAGTGTCTGCCTGCACTATTGATAGATCTTCACCACTACTACTAGTGTTGCCTTGTGAATCTGTGGATTGCATATTTGTTTCCACCCCTGCTCTAAACATCCAGGATCCAATTTGTGTTGGCATTTTCTGTAGACAAATAGGCCAAGTTTGCTTTTTTAAAGGATAGTGCAACATAGAAGAGCTAAACAAGCATGCGGCTTGTTCCAGTGTGCGTATCTTGAACTTGATGGTTTGATGTGATCTCATCTTGCAGGTCAGTGTTCCAGCTAGTGCCTTCTGCTCACAATATGCCCACGTTTCTGAGTATCTTTTCTGAAACAGACTTCTAATACAGTCCAATGAAGGAAATCACATTTGGTACACCCTTCTCAAGTTAGAACTTGCTAACGAGAACTTGGTATAAGATATTTGCATTTTTTTTTAACCTATACTGTGATGGAGGAGGATTTTGTGTCTATGTTGTGACTGTACTGTATGTAGTCAGTCAGAATTTGTAAACAGGGTAGCATTCAGATTTTTTTCTCCTTCCATATATACATTAATTTTTGTCTTTTTTATATATAAAAGTGCAATTTGTGCTGCAGCAATCAGTGTTAAATCATAAGCATAAGATTTAACAACAGTTTTTATATGAATGAATGGAATGAATGTAAACATTTTAACTTAATGGTACGCAAATAATTTAAAAGAAAAAAGTTAACTAGACATCCTCATAGGGTTTTTTATTACAGCAAAAACATTCTACTTCTGTGTTTCTGATTTTTAAAACAAAAGTTTCAAGAACAAATGTTTTCTCAGGAAAAAAATGACCCTAACTGTCTTTCTGGTCATAAGCTTTTATAGAAAACTACACAGTCATCCCCAGTATCTTGCCACTGAATAAAGTATGTGCTAGAAAAGTATCAGTTGCAGTAAAACTTTACTACCTAGTGGATAAATATGTAAATACTCCATTAAAATATTAAGGCATCTATAAAATATTAGATGCAGTCTGTATGATGTAGCTAATCCATAGCTAGGTTGGCTTACATTTTTTTTAATGGGATGTCATGTGGAAAGTTGTTTTCATCAAAGGTTTAAAAATAAAAGGGTTATGTGTTCTTTCTGTACAATCTGATTTTTTCTTTAGTATATTTATACAACAGAAGCATGCTCAAGTGTGTAAAGGAATTGGGTAAGTAAACATTAGAACACTAAGCCCTCTGCCAACCAAATGCACAAGTAATGGTAACTTCCCTTATTATCACCACCCATCAACAGCACAGAGAGGGATGGACCATTCATATTCTACCAGTTTGGGCTATTCAGCGTGTTGGACAGGTTTTGTAACATTTTGGTTGGTTTTAATAAAAGTATTGCCCAGAGGTGGATTTTGAACAGATTTTTTTCCCTTGTGTGGGTTTTTTTCTTTTTTTGTTTATACTGTACATTGTATACTATACTACTGACCTAAGATACTTGTGTTAGATCAATCAATCTGGTCATTCCAGTAATATCAAAGGGCAAAGGAAATCAGGGACTGGAAGTTACACAAATAAGGACTGCCATGGGTGGTACAAGAATTTTATGACACACTTCAAAAGATCTGAATCTGTGCTGTACTCTTGCCTGTGAATATATTATGACCCCAAGGTGGTTTCAAAGGTGGTTTCTTTCTTCTTTCCTTTTATTCTTTTAAAAATGCTTTCAGTTTTAGGATTTTAATCAACTATGTGGGTCCATCTAGCTGAACATGGAGTCTACGCTGATGGAAGCAGCTCTCCAGAGTTCAAAAAGGACTTCCTTCCTCTGAAATTGAACCTGGAGATGGGAAGGTTTGCAATCCTTGTCCTCAGGAATGCCAGGGTGATATCTTTCTACCCTGAAAATCTGTTGTGTCCAAAATTCCGGAGGCGTTGTCATATTCCAGCTCCTGTGATGTTGTAGAATGTAGATACATCCTTGTTCTAAACCTCTAGTAATGCTGACAGAAATAAAAGAGGGAAAGCAGGTCATCCCTCAGTGGACCAAACCAGTATTTGGAAGAAGCAAAAGGTAGGGTCTGAGTTCACACAATGCAACCACCCACATTTGAAAGCTGGGTATGAGTTATGGGTGGGTTGTTCTGTTTTGCAAACCTAGGCATATAAACCATATTTTGGTAGCATGGTTTGGGTCATGCAACACACCAATCCATGTCCCGCAACCAGTAACACTCAACCTTGAGTGTGGTTGTCATTCTGTGTGAACCCAACCTAGAGGTTTCTTTTTCCCTTTTTTAACTCTTCTGTCAGCCTTCAGTTGCTGGCCTTCTTCTTGCCATCACTGTCCTCGTGCTTCCTGCTCTTTTGATAGCAATATGTGTCAAAAAATGAAAGAATAATAAACTGGCTCCTTTCCCTATCAGATCAGAGTTTGGAGGAAGGGTCCCTCTGAGCGGGTTCCATCCTATATGGGCACCATGGGCACAACAAATTCTCATGGCCCAGTCCTGATTTAAAGGAGCCTCATAATGTTTTATTTTTGCAGCATTGTATCCAGGAAGTGCTGTTATATTTCCTTGCAGGGATCTTGTGCTATACAATCAAGAACAATTTAAAACTTCCAGTCTTGCATCTATTGCCAGAGGGAACTGTCAGCCTCAAGTTTGTGTCCTCTCATGAGTTCCATGGCTCAAAAAGAATCTCCATTTTTGTGGAAATGCTGGCTGGACAGATCTAGGAAGGTAGGACAAAAAGGCAGTTGAAGGTTCCCACCTACTCCAACAGAGGTGAATACCTATTCATTGGTGTAAGATTTTTAAATGCTTAATCTTTGTCCATGTCCTAATTTAATCAAGGCCATTCTGTATCACCTATTAATTGGCAATGTAGAGTCCAGAATTTTCCAGAACCTTTGCTAGAAGTACTGTAACATATCCAGATGTTTTCATATGCAGAATAACACAGTTGCCTTGTTTCCACTTGGCAATAGCCCTTCCAGGACCAACCCACTATTCTGAACAGGTTTTTTTTAAAGTGCACACCCTCCAGCCTTGTTGAGCTGTACTCAGTCTGGTTGACTCGGGATCCTGGATGAGGTGCCTATTTTCTGCATTTCTGAACAGTGATTCCAGAAGAAGTCCTGCTTGATGTAGTCTTAATGCCTCTGGGATCCTGGTTTTGGGTGATCTTTTTTCATATGGCCAGTTGCTTCACCCAATAAAGCTTTGCCACGGGAAAGGGAAATCTCTTTCTTCTGTCTTATCTGAATTGACCCTGATGCTAAGAATCTCCCTCCTTCCATGTGTTTTGGACACAGCAAAAGAAGGCATGTGCTTTCTCTGCCATCCTCTCTTACTTATGTTAGGCTTCTAACTTGCATCATGGCAAATCTCTTATGGAGAAGTTCAGATCTTGTCTGTACTGCTCTCTCCCAAGAATCCCATGAAAGCCCTTCACGATGCAAGACTACACACCAAAGTTGTGCATGCTGTGATCCTGTGTGTTTAGAAAATGCAGCCATTTCTGGCCCTGCTTTACCAGTTAGATGATAGGCTGTCATTAAGTGAGCAAAAGGTTCCCATGTGGCTCTCCAAGTGACCCCTGTCATGCCTGATAGCTGGCTATTCTGAACAGGGCTGATGGGACTTGAGTTCCCAACAACATCTGAAGGGTCACGGTTCCTGTAGCTCTGCCCTTCCATTTGACCTAGCACCCCCCCCCACACACACATTAATTGATGTTCTAGAAGGCATATTTCCTAAGTATGGCCAAGTAGTTTGCAGATATGCAAGAGACACACGTCCTCAATGTAGTAACAGTTCTGTCTAGTTAGTGATCCTATCGTAAATAGGTCAGATACTTTTTCCTGAGTAAGATGGTTCTACCCACAGATCATTAAACGCAGCACAGGTCAGCATATAAACTGCTGGAAATGTCTCACTCTGGTCAAAGAGCAGATTGGTGAATTTTGAGAGTGCCTCTGACCTTTTGGAGGTGAGGGGGAGCTAAGATAGGTATCTAGAGTTAGTGCCAACTCTCAAACAAGGGATCAGAACCAAAAGCACCCATCAGCAATCCCAGGAGTTGGCAGCTTGCAGCCCCCCACATGTTGGACTGCAGTTCTCATCAGCCCTAGGTAACATAGCCAATGAGGGTTGATAGTAGTTGTAGGCCAAACTACCTGCAATGCCTCAAGTTGCCCACAAGGTCATACAAAAGCAGTGTGGACTAAACTCAACATGGCATTGGAGACAGCCTCATGTGTGAGCCAGTCCTATGGTGCAGCGGGTTGTGTATGAGCACAAATTGCCACATGTCCATGATCAACTAGATAAGAAAGATCAACACACAATTGAAGGGCAGACTACATAGATGATGCATTTACCACACATAGAATCAACCCAAGCAGGAAGAAACCGTGCAAGGATTCATGAATGTCCCATCCTTCCTGCAAATAAGTCTTCTGTATTACATTTTAATAGCAACTTGTGGCTATGTGAATGTTTTGGCTTGCAATTCCCACTGTACCTCACTGTTCACTATGGTAGCTAGGGCTAAGGGAGTTGCAGGCCAAAACAAGCATCCTATTTCTGCTTTAATACATTGTGTAAAAGGAAGTCTTTTGGGAAAGACATACATTTCTTCACCCTATTCCACCAGTAGTACATGCACTTCAACGTCTCTGTACTTCAAGGCTGAACACCTTGGTTTTGAGTCTAAGTGTGGTGGCTGATTGATTCATTATGTTCCTTAACAGATGCACTTTCTGACCTGTACCAAAGGGCAAATATGTATACTAAATGGGAGTAATGAAAGGACGTGATAAAAGTAGCTGATGTCATGGAATATTTTCTCCTTGACACTCTTTTTGCTGAGTGTATGGAAAATAAAACCATTCAAATACAGGTAGAATTGTACAAGCACCTCAGACTGCTTTTAGATGGAATTCACATATTCAACTAATATTTTCTTTGTAACCATCCAGTCAGAGGAGCCCAGGTCTGGTGCTTCAGACTCCACCATATACAAAATGCCAAAGAACTATTTACACGTGGGCTTGTCTTATACAGCACTGAACTAATGGTCCATCTTGCCACAGGGGAGTCTCCCTCACATCAGCTCCCTTCAGCAACCCACCCTAACCAGCTTCCTGCATGTAGTGACTTAGAATTCTCACAATCCCAAACCAGCATACTTAAGATGGTGTCAATTGTAGCTCAAAGCCACCCGTTTGGAGAAGGCAGCCTAAGGATCTTGGACAGGGCCTTTCCCAAGCCTGCTCCTTGTGTCCTTCCAGCTGACAATGACCATACTGCTATACTGCTCAATTTAGACCCTTCCCAAATTTATTTTGCTTTTTAAAAAGGTATACTTGATTGAAGATTCAGTTCTGTGGGTTGCAAATTTGATTCTGACAATGCATAAATGAGTTAAGTATGTGCCGTCAGTAAAACTGAAGAAAACTCCCCCTCCAGGGGTATCTTCAGGAAGTTCCTACTAAATTAGTTTCCTTTGGCTGCAGTTCCACACAAACTTATATGGGAGTATGTCCCATTGACTATAGTAGGGCCTGCTTTCTTCCAGGAAAAGTCTTAACAGTCCAAATGCTTTGCAATCTGCACACACTAAAAAAAACAGGAACATGGGTGAAAAGAATTTTCTGGCATGCTTCCCCCCACCTGTTAACATTTCAGTGCAAGGAAACAGAGCTTCATATTATGGGGTTTTGCTAGGTATCATTTTCAGGTAAAAGTATAAATTGGGCAATAGATAAGGGGCAAAAATGGGACAGATGGTGATTCAAAATTTTAAAAAAACACAAACAGTCCTCTCGCTTAGCTCTATTTCTGTTTACAAGGAGCAAGGAAGAAATGCCATGCCAACAAACTTTCACAAGAGCAGAATGCAGGAGAAATCCATGTTCTTCTCCAAACATTAGACCTTTAATGTGGATGGGATGAGGGTGATCCAAATGTAGAAGCCAGCCTTGTTTTAACATCACTCCTTGAGAGAGTCAGGTATGTCAGGATTTCAATTGACTTAAGATTGTTTCGACCTATATTATATGCTGCCATGACTGGCATTCCTTTATATTTTACAGAATAGGCTTCTTTTAACTAGTTTGGCAATTTTTGCTTCCATGGGATTCAAATGGAGCAATATACCATACTTCCTTTCCTTAACTAATGAAAAATTGAGACAGTTCCATGTGAATAAAAGCATTCATTTGCATGTCTACCAATTTTAGTGGTTCAAAACTAATAATCAGAAATATCACCAGGACCACTGAGATCCCAAATAGGCATGTACATGACTGGTTCAAATGAGTTGAGTATGGTTGTGTGGAGAGAATTAAGTGGTGATGTTGATGTGCATATGAACCAGAGCAAGTTCCTGGCTTAGAAAGAAGTGTTCTAGTTGGAAGAAATTAGTGGAGTCCCACAGGGAATAAATCATTCAATATTTTATTAGTGATCTGGGAGAGGAAAATATGAGTGTTTTGATCATATTTACAGATGTCACCAAACTTAGGTGATACAGAGAAAGATCAAGGAGTACAATGAGTTGGATGATGGAATAGTAAAAATAAAATGAGATTTCAGCATACCAAGTGAGCAGTTGTCTATTTGGGAACAAATGTAGCTGCAGTTCATCAGCTGGAATCCATCGAAACAGGGTACATGATTATCAATGGGGACTAATAGATATGAACATTAAATTCATGTTTTCAAAATCATGTTATGTGCATTGCAGACCTGTTGATGTAAACCTACACATTAATGTTGCTATTAGCAACATCTGCTCGTTTTTACCTTGGCACTTACTCCGGTTTTATTTTATGAACATGGCATTTTGAAATTATATTTTACGGTTTTAGTGTTTTTGTGAACTACCCGGACAGCTTTGGATAATTGGAGGCATAGAAATTAATAAAAGAATAACAAGTAGTATTAGATAGCAAAAATGACAGTGCAGCTAGTTTTTATCGGTGGAGCACATCAGAGATGTTAAGGATTTCTGCAATGGGATTGCTGCTACGCTCCAGGAAACTTAAGAAGAAAACCTGAGTTAATGTGTTCATAATCTCAGAAATGGGAAAATGACATCATGAAAAGGCAACATACCCATCAGCAAGCCCACTTGCCCACTAGGCTGTGATGGTATAATTTAATTCAATAATATGCATCATGTGTAGGGGGCTTTTTTCCTCTTATCAGTTCTTCTAAGTATGATGTGAAGCAGTCCTTTCATAATGTTACTCTGAGATTACTTTCATACTATAAGTGGTGTAATATAAGGACTCTAAAACAACAAGCCTTACCTTTTCCACTTGCCCTCTACCCCTAAATGCAAACAAAACATAAATTCTGTTGGGAAGCAGCAGGGCAAAGGTCTCTGGAGCTGTGTTTATTGCACAATGTTGGTCCAATAAAAGTGTACTTTGCCCAGGATTGACTGAACGGCAAGAAAGACCCACGCGCTACACTTAAAGACCTTCTTTTTATTAGGATGAATGATTTATGGGTCTGATTTGGTATGGAGTTTGGGCTTTATGATGGGACACTGTACTATAACACAGACATGAAGGACATTAGCAGGGAAGTGACAGGAGTACAAAACTTTAATGGCAAAGCTGCAGGACAAGCTAGTTAAAGCGTGCTGCATTCTGTGCTAGGACTGTGAAAATTCTGTTTGTTTTAAAACTAAACTAATTTGTTCTGTTGGCATGAATTTTGGTATAAGTGATCTCATGGAATGCAACACTATTGGCTGACTCAACAAGTTAAAATTTGGAAGCAGGTGGAGCACATGCATAGTGAGTCCAGCCCATGGGGATTAGCCCCTCAAGATCCCCAGTTCTTCCCAGACTTTACACCCTCCACACGTTCTTCTTTCATTTACTGGGTAATCTTACCCAGAGTGCTTATTCAGAGTGCTCCTACATTTCCTGAGCTGGGGTGGGCAACATGATACTCACAACACTGCTGAAAGTGACATTAAAACGGCTGTGGGATAGTAAGCAAATCAAATTTAGCTAAATCCCTGAACTTCTTTGCTATTGCCCACAAAATTTTGCAGGGCAATGGAAAGAGCCAGAGCGCCACTCACAGGGGAAGTACCAGGGCACAGGATATGGCTCCTAGACCCTACAAAGTTCCCTATGTTTCTCCAGTCCTTCTCTGCTCTTGCTGAAGGGAGAGTAAAGGACTGGTTCCTTTCAACCCTGCCCCCTTTGTATTGTGAATGATGGAAAGGAAATGTTTAGGCCAGCAATCCCCCAAGTTTGAAACAGGGTGGAGAATTGAGAAGGATTTGGGCGCATTGCATCCAAGCTTCTCTCACTTTGCCCATGTCATGTCTCCTGTCTGTTCTTCTCCTGCCCAGGTTAGAGGGAAATGCCACAGAAAGAGGGGAAGTGAGGTGGTAATCCAAGATCAGAGCTCCCCTTCTTAGGTTGGAACTTGGTCTCCAACCTCAAGAGTTACCGGTGGAAATCCAGTGCCTCTGTTGGCCACTGTGAAGTCATCTTGGACACCAAAGGATTTATGGCCCAAGGTCCCCACGGTATCTTAATGTGAACATAGCACTGTGGGCCACATAGCACACAATATTTTGTCTTCCATGTAATCAGTCAAGAGTTTTCACATTTCTGTAAATCAAGAAGAAACAAAGCAGTTCTTTTGGAAGTATTTATTTTAACCATTAAAACCCTTTCCATTAGAAAATATTACTGTGATCTTGTGACTCACAAAATTGTTTGGCATTATATGCCTGTTTATTTCATGGTGCCCACTACTCCTCCAGCAGGTTGGAAATGTGTCACAAGTCACACAAAAGGAAGAGTGATGCTGTTGGAGTGCTGGGTGAGCAGAATCTGTAGCACAGGAAATTAGCTCTTCCTAAATTCTGCTGGTCAGGGTGAAAACCAGGGGAAGGTTTTCCCTATTTGGCCCACTCTTACTCTATCTGTTAAACATTTTCTCTTTCCATTAGCACCCATCGTGGCTCCAGGGCTAGTGTATGCTTCCTAGCTTCTTGTGAGCAAGTTGGGGCATTTGAGGACTATGGAATCCATGCATCCAAGATCTCCCCCAATCTGTTCCTGACACACCCTTGCAACACCTCTTTTTTGCTGCCGGAGAAATATTGTGATAGTGCATCCCTATCACCAACATTCTCATTTCCTTATTGTGTGCTGGTAGAGAAGCACTTCTGTGCCATCCTGCAGCTAATGCTTTGCAAATCTGAAACATCAGTGTTGTGCTCCCTCCTCCCTCAATTCTGATTTGAGACGTGTTAAAGTAGACAGCTTAGTCCATTTAGCTTTGTAGTTTATTTATTTACAAGATGTATATACCACTCTATATTCTGCCATTCAGATTTTGTAGCAATGAACAATAAAACAGATCAAAGAGAAAGCAGAGTGTTGAAAAAAATCAATAAAGCTGTGTTTGGTTAGTTCAGGAAGGCTTCCCAAAATAGAAGTGTTTTCTGGAGCCACCAAAAACCATATAATGTTAGTACCTTCCTGACCTCCAGTAGCAGAGTTCCGTAGAAATGGAGTTCCTTACACTGAAGACTCTGCCATGGCTGGCCTTCAGTCCCACAGAAGGGCTATATGGAACCACCAGGAACATGCCATCCCATAAAGACAGTGACCAGACAGGTTGGCAAGATAGAAGCTGTATCAAGTGTCCTGGTCCTAAGTCATTCAGGGCTTAAAAAAACTACTGACCTTATATAACTGGTAATTTGTTTTTTGCAATGGTTCCACACTCAAGCAGCAAAATGTCTTCTTTGGGGACTGCAGCAGTATAATGTGTGCTTAAGAGATCAGCATCGATTCATAATTAACAGAAGCAATTGGAGAGAGATTTGAACCTTGCCATTTAAAATACAGTTTGGCGCCCTCCCTCACCCAAAGAGATTCCATAGTCCTTCATTAGATTTTATCTTAAGGAAGTTAGATTTTTTTTGCATAACATCCATTCAGACATTCAGCAGAAAGTTTCAGGCAAATGACTTCCTCTTCAGTCAGAAATACATTTTCCCACAACCAAGCCTGGAAATGAGGGATTAAACAGTGACTTCAACTTGGGTTGTAGCACAAACCGTGGCAGCTGTTTCCAGGATATATCCCAGGAAAGGAACTGAAGTGCATGTCCTTGATAAATTCACATTAATGAATCTTGCAACTGACTTTGTAGTCTGCATTTTCAAAAGAGTTAAAATACGTATTTGTGAGTAAATTAAACAAACCAGATTCAGGGAAATGGTGTTTTTCTCTTTCTTTCCCCTCAGACGTTCCTAAAATTATTATTCTGTAATTAATGTTGTAAAACATTTACTGTCTGTAGGCTGAAAGAACTGAAATATGTTCTTGTGAATGACAAATGTTTTCTTTAGTTGTACACATACATTTTCTTGTGATTAAGAGAGGAAGCCAGACTTCCTTCTTCTCAAGCAATGCCAGACATAAAGTCTCACATCTCCAGACTCTCACAGTCTTCCGTATTCCTGTTGCAGCCCTTGTCTCCTCATCTTGATCATCTGGGGATGAGCAGATGATGATAAGGCAGCTTTACAAAAGAGTCACTCATCCAGTGTGGAACATATTTACCCAGGATGCTGATCTGCTGAGTATTTGCATTCTACATGGGAGTCTGCCAGTCCTCTTGCTTTTTTCTCCTAGCCTAGGATGGCTCAATCAGCATGGGAGTGGTAGTTAATTAACACCTAGGAACATAGGAGGCTGCCTTAGACTTAATCAGACCATCTAGTGATGAGTTGGTCCACCTAGCCCAATATTGTCAATTCTCACAGTCAGCCACTCTTCAGACTTTTCAGGAAGGAGCTTTTTCAAGCCTATGTGGAAATTGGACCTGCCAATGATAAGTATGTGCTTAAGGTCATTAGATTAAAGCTCAGTGCTGACCACTGAAGTGGGCCCTGAACTTCAACATGCTAAACATCACTGCTCCTTCCAGTGCTGATTTTTCCTAAATATATTTCCAGGTATCACTCCCACCCTCAATGGTAATGCCAGCTTCCTAACAGCCTCCTTAAATGTTACTGCCCCATTTTCTCATTTGGCATTATCGCTGGTGCTGGGAGCAAGATTGAAAAGATCCTCTGTTAGAGGGTCCACTTTGATAAAGCACTTTGTGCTGATGCACTGACTTCAAAGTGTTACCACACAAATACAGGGACCTAGTAATAGCAGGCTAGATAGACTTCATCAGATTAAAATTAGAAATTCATGATTAAATCTTCTGTGCTATTGTTTAATCTGGCAGTTCTCTAATATTCTCTTTCGGGACCAAATGCCACTGGAGGGTGGGGCCAGAAGCAAAACACCAATTCCCCAACAATCCTTCCCCACCTATTTTTGCTTAAATTTAGCTTTTACTACCAGTAACTACAACTTTTGGACAGGCATTTGGGCCTTGTAGAATGGAGGGAAATGGCAAAAAGCTGGGAAACCACCCAGTGATTGGTGCTTGGAGGCAAGAGGGTGGGCACAGAAAAGTGGTGTTGGGACCTCTGGATTTGGTCCCCTAGGCTTAAAACTCTGCATCTCTGCTCCAGCTGATCACACCCATTAAGCAGCCTAGCTGCTGCTCCTTTTTCCCACAGAGGCCAACAAGGTGCCTCCGGAAAGCCAACAAACAAGACATGTGACAATGGCCTCTCCCACAGAAGTGGTATCATACCTTACCAAATTCATCATACCTAAGCATCATGACTAGCATCCCTTGAGGAGGAAGGACACTGTGCACTCATGCTATGCAGATGGGATTGCTACTCCCAGAAGTCATCTCCCTTGCATCTCAAGACATCTCTGTGAGCATGCATTCCAGCAGCTTCTTGTGTGGATGAGTTCAGGGCTGCTTGGAGAAACTTTAGCACGAGTCAGGATGTTCCTGGAGAAAGTCTTTATCCTTCTCCATGATCATCTGCTTCACTTAGAAACTGTAGCCACAATCAGAGTTAACTGCTGATGCTAGTCTTTCTTCACACAAGTTCACAGTCATGCAGTGCAAGGGAATTTAACACTATGAACCTGAATCTAAGGACTTAGAAGCTCCTACAGAATTTAATTCTTCCTGGAGTTTTCAGATTCTACAGAGTTCCCAGGCAATCCTTGTTCCTCAGCATGAATGTTAACAGTCAAAGCTATTAGCACTTCCTTTCTCCCTCTGTCTGCCTATAAAATGAGTCTTTGCAGTCCTTTCCTTCCTTTGTCCTTCACCACTGTGAGATCACCTGATAGATCTTTCAACAAACTCCCATATACAGCAGTGAGCCCCGTCCACAAGAGGAAGGAAGTTACTAATATAGAGTTTGGCCCCCAACCTTTCTCTAGCCTCATTCAGTACTAAAACCAGGACGTTTCTGTCACTTTTCTTGCTGGAGACAGAAACAGCTCTTTACTAATCTGAAGATTTCTTTTAAAATATCTAAATTATTTTTTTTAAATCCTGGCAACCTAGTCTCACTATTCGACCCTAATTACTGTGCCAAAGCTATCTGGCACACTATTTTCAAGCACTGTCCTAACCTTGGAACTAAACCCCAATCATCTTCTGATTCTCTTTGTGAGGAAAGGGGTTCAAATGAATTCTTGTTTCACTCCTTAATTGCTAAGGCACGGTAGATGTTAATTAGTTTATTCAGCTCTCCCACATTCAGGGCAACTCACAACAAAGATTTTAAACAATAAAAGAAACAAAGTTAACAGCAGCACTGAAGTCCTCACCAAGATTTAGCAACCAAAAGTTATCTGAAACTAGTGAATATTCACCCTCTAAAATTGTGGAAATGACTATATAGACAAAAAGAACAGCCTTGATTTCCAAGTGTTTGATTCACTAGTCTGTCTCAAAGAAAAAACTGCTTTGCATATAAGTGCACAGTTGGAAGTGATTGCCACTTTGATTGAGTCCTCTTTTGCCAGATAAAATTTCTCATTCTCTTCCCAGATGGAGGCAGCATAAATGGTTACATTAGAGAACTGGTTGCTGCCTGGGATAGAGAAAGGCTAGGGACTGAACAATGTTACAAATTCAAGGTACTCACTGTGTCTACTCATTTGGAACTGTTGCAGCCACTTCACCCATATTTTGGTTAGGTTCTTTTTGTTATTGAATTTTATACTACCTTTGAGAAGAATAGCTGCAAGAACAGTCATCCTACAGTCTCAAGGAAAAGGCCCTCAGTGGAACAGTAAAGGTCCTCCTTTCAAGCATTGAAGATACAGGGACAGGATACAACCTGGAGAAAGTAAACAGGTGTGGTTCCTGGAGAAAAGGCAGGCTCTGAAGTATGCGGTTTCCAGGCCATGGGGAGTTTTAAAGGTAAGCCTCATCCCCTTGAACTGGAGTTTGAAGCTAACTGGTAATCAACACAGCTATTGCGGAATTGATTGCATATGTTCCTGTCTCTTGATACCTATCAGGAGACAAATGGGAACATTACATACCAGTTGAAGCATGTCTTCTCACTGATGAGTAATTTAGCTGTCCAGTTCAAAAGAAATATCTAGAAGCATATTGAAGGTTAGAGCATAAAACAAAATGTTTTTTAAAACTCTTGTGCATATTAGTGCAGCCTGATGGCTTCCTGGTATTTTGGTCCACAATTCCAACCATCCCTGAACATGGACCATGTTGGCTGGGACTGATGGAAACTGTGGTCCAAACATCTGGAGAACTGGGCTGTATTATACTAATGGAAAAATCTATATTTCCTTGAATTTACACTGGATTTAAAGTTAAGTCTCTCCCACTTTTCATCTAGTTTGACGAACATTAATAATCAAAGTCACTCCATTTCCCAAAGCTGAGTTCATACAATACAATAGCTATACTTGATGGCTGAGTATGGATTGACTGTGGATTGTCACTGAAATGTGGGATGTTATTGAATTATCAGCAGTTGTGCTATCTGAATCAGCCCACACTGGTTTGTTACCACAGCTGGGTTCAAACAACATAATAAGCTACATTTCAACAACCACCCATATTTAGCCCATACTCAATGCTAGACTCTAGGTATTCATGTTGTGTGAACCCAGTAAATGTTGTGGAGAGAGAAGATATTTTGCCACACACTGAGCACTCAGTGTGCTCAGCTCCACAACATGGCATGTCTATTGAAGCAATGACTCAAATACAAATCTGTACATGTTTATAGTATTTCCATATACACCAAAAGATAATTTCATCATTGTATGCTGCTTTTCCATAAAATTGTGGAAAATGCAATAGAAACAAAACATACAATAGAAACTATTACTAATAACCATAAATACAAAGGAGAACTATTAATGCATACAATATCTAGTAAAATAATACAAATAAGTTACCATAGTCCAACAACTGAGTGCTAAGCAAGAAAGGGAATAAACTGCAGTACATGAGATAGATAATATCCATTCCATATGAATATTCTATACAAGTAACCTAAAAGCACAGATTAGCAGCCACTGCCCCCACATGTGGCAGCCTTCCTCACAGTTATCCCCTGTGTCTCCTTTCATAGTTCCTTTCCCATCGCTCATCTCAGAGGGGGAAGAATGAGACTGAAGCACCACCAAAATACACCACATCTTGGAGATGTTGATCTCCTCTCCTCACTCATACCTGCACTCACAAAACCGTGTCCGGAGAAGCAGCTGACATGGCTGCAAAGGGGTAAGGATGATGCTCCAAGAGTCCCAGATGCAACTTCAGCAAAGTCCTCTGGAGTTAAAGCTGGGGCTCTGAAAAACCCTGCAGCTTTCTAGTGTCTGTAAGACTGTGCTGTAATTTAGAATATTGCTTTTGGTCAGTCCTTGAAACCTTTTATCTTCTTTTCCTGATTAGTCAAGCTGCAAGTAAACATTTAATACACTTGGATTAAGTTTGGCAGGACCACCAAAAGCCAGAAAAACCTGCTTCAAAGGTCTTGGATTTTGGACTAAGAACTGCCCTGCCCTGTCCCAGACTAAGGATTTGTCTGCACATAGTTGAAAAATGTGCTCCAATTTCTTTTCCCATTAACCCCCAGCTCCCTGCACACATATTCACACACCCCACCAAGTTTTCCCAGTGCTTTTGGGATGGGTCTGTAGAAAGTCTTTCCATAGAATATTGTCAATTTCATTTGCTATGGAACTGAGAAAAGAACATTTCAAGGCCTGAACAGTTTCTTTGCCCTTCTAGCCAGTGAAACTAACACAAGCTTTATTCAGAAGTTCTGTCTGTGACTGGTTCTTAAGCCACAGAGGGTTGCAGTGCCTGCAGGTGCCACATTGTCCATCAAGCCCCTGTTATGACTTCTTGTGTTGCTCAGACTTGGCAAGGGTGGCTTTTTTGGATGCTTAACAATCTACCCCATAAGCACTCCAACATGCCATGGTCTCTGAATGCTTTGTGAACCAACCCAGCAAGTCAATCCTTCTGGGTTTGAACAAAATGAACTTTTGACAAAGTGTCCCATGATGTCCTGATTAGCAAACTAGCTAAAATTGTGGTCCAAAACATCTAGAGAGTACTGGGCTGATGGAACAACCATCAGCTGGATCCAGAGTTCACTACTGCAGCAGACTCAAAGAATGCTTGTCATTGGCACATTCTTGGATTGGGGTGCTACAGGGTTCACTCTAGGGCCCAGTGCTCTTCAATTTTTTTTTATTAATCATTTGGATGAGGAGAGGTAGGGAATGCGTAAGAAAAGATGCAGTTTAAGAAAGATGTGGATAAACTGGAAAAGGTTCAGAGAAGGGCAATAAAGATGATTGTTGGTACCAGAGACAAAGACCTATGTGTTGAGATGGGAAGAGCTAGGCATGTGGAGCCTAAAGAAGAGAAGACAGCTATGATAGCATTCTTCAAGCATGTGCCAAGTTGTCACACAGAGAAGAGCCAAGAACATCCCAGAGTGCAGGGCACAGAACAATGGGCTCAAGTTACAGGAAGCCAGATTCTCACTGAACATCAGCAAAAGCTTCCTGACTGTTAGAGCATTGTAACAATGGAACCGATTACCTAGGGAGATTGTGGACTCTCCCACACTGGAGTAATCAAGATGCAGCTGCACAACCATTATTAGGTATACTTTAATATGGAGTCTTTCAATAAGCTGGTGGATGAACCTGATGGCTCTACTATTCTATGATAACCAGCGCACTTTTGGAATCTTAACCCTAACTCTCTGCAACAACTGAATCTGAGCCACAGTTTTTAATGCTGCGACAGAACATGTGAGTATGCCCTTAAAAGCATTCTTACCTTCACTTACACACACGGAGATCTCTACCCAAAATTCTGCCAAAGTTAATGCATGTACTGCATAGTCACCACTATAAACATATAGCTGTGGCAAAAATATTGTTTCTACTATCACCTCGTTTAACTGCCAGGCAGCATATTTATTATTTGTTGCAAATTATCCACATTCTAAGTGCCTTCATTTCTTACTGATTAGTCCGCATTAATTCATTAAATTCATTTAGCACATTGCATTCAATGGCATCAACATGCCATCTAATTCTTTAAGTGAAGCTTGACTCTTCAGGTTTTAAGTGAAGCTTTCTAGCATAAAATATTGTGCCAGAAGCATCAATACAGAAACAAAATACTTAAAAAAAAATACGAAGTTAAGCCTTACAAACATAAGGTTTTTTAATTCTGTCATAGGAAAAGGGAACAGATTAAATATTTTTTGTTGGGAGGTTAAAACTTTTTCAAATATTGCCGTGATTTCCTTTTCTGGTGTACACTTCCTACCTATGCCTTTAACCATGTTATCATTACAGAGAAAGTACTGTTTAACCAATGTTAAAACCCATTAATGAGCTTTACATTTATTATTTAATCATTTCATATTCTTTCTTTCTTATAGTGTTCAAAATGTAATTATATTACATTTTAGGCAGATAAAATGTTGTTCATTTGCAACATAACTACATCAATTCAAATCTATCAGTTAATTAAAAAATAACAAATATCCATCAGACAAAGCCTAGCTGGCAAATGAGACAGCTTCACAGCCAAAAGCTTGTCTAATAAAAAAAGTATTTGCCTGTTGGCAGAATGATAACAAAGATGGATCTCACCTTGCTTCCCTTCTTGTGGAGTTCCACAGCGTGGAGCAGCCACTGAGAAGGCCTCACAGTCCCACCAGTTCTGCCTCTGAAAGACAAAGGTTCTTCTAAGTATCTTAAAACCTGGGCAAGCTTGTATAAGAGAAGGTGGTTTGTCAAATAGTCTGGTCCCAAACTATGTAGGGCTTTATAGGTTATAAACAGTGCTTTACATTATGCCAGGAAGAGACCAATAACCAATGAAGTTGTAACAAGGGAGTCAATAGTCTGGTTACAACATTCAGGACCAGTGGAAGTTCCCACACAGTTTCAAAGGATCCCATGTAGAGTATGTTATAGTAGTCCAAACAGGATGTAACTAGGCATGTGATACCATCTGACCTATTCAGGAAGGGGGACAGAAGACATTCTTAACTGTGCAAACATACTCACAACCTCTGCTGAAATCTGGGCATCCAGATTCACGACTGAACCAGAAGTGCTTCCAAATTTCAAACCTGAATCTTCAAGTCTTCAAACTCCAACAAAGGTTAAATCCCCATTTCCTCATCTGCCTTTCAGCTGACCAGAAACAGCTGTCTTGCATAAGTTTCACTTTGTCTTCATCAAATTCATTATCAAAGTCAGAAACTGGTTTAGAATTGATTTAGAGAGATTTGATTTATCTTGGAATTAGATAGAAAGGGGAGATAAAGTTGTATGTCATCAAGTATTGGTGGCACTGAACTCCAGACCTCCTGACAGCCTCTCTGAGCAGTTCATATATATACATTAAATAGCACAGGGCTCAGAATAGCTGACGGACACCATAGCTTGGGAGTCTCAGCATCAAAGGAGCCTCCAAAATTGCCCCTCTGGGAAAGACCATAAAATAGTGCCTCCAAATCTCAACCTAGCCTGGCAATTTAGAAGGATGTTGGATGCCATGGTCAATGTTACTGAAAGGTTTTGAAAGATACAGCAGAACAAACAGGGCCATTTTGCCCCGTCCAGCTCCTGACATAGATCATCCACTATGGAGACCAAAGCAACCTCTGTCCCAGAACCAGGTCTGTAACCAGATTAGAATGGATCCATCTCATCCAGAAACCCCTGGAGCTGAGGGTCAAACTGCACATTAACTGACATTCTGTTTCTTTTTTCCTCTAAAGCAGGCTGGGCAATTTCCAGGGGTTCAGATGCCAGTTTCCCCCATGAGATTCACCAGGGGCTATACCCTTCCCTTTATGTTTCTGTTGTCTTTTATACACAGTGAGGTATTTACAGATCCTATTGGTGGGATATTTTTTGCAGTGCAAGTCTTTACTTTCACCATTGTCTTAGCACACAGCTAGGTCAAGCTCCCTTTATTGATAAGTTTGTTCATTTGTCACTGTCACTAAAGCTCTTGTATTGATTTCTTTTATCTATGGACTGATCCTTTGAATTATTCCTTTAAAAATGAGCCTCCATGTTTTCTTTCTTTATGGCATAACCAGTGTGGACATCTTCATCTGATTCATCCCTGGTTCCTCCTGCAGGTGATAAGATATTTTGCTTTCTTGCTATTTCTTTATCCAGCTTAGTTGTGTAGCCAGATATCTGTTCTCCCCAGCCCACCTCCCCACTTGTAATTTCATGCTAAGTATCCAAACTCTGAGCATTTATGGCACTGGGAAATTTTGTGCTTACAAACTGAAGTCGAATGCATTCTTCCACAATGAAACATCTTTCTAGTTTTCTAAACTTCTCTTGTGGATTTTGCAATTGCTTTACAAGCTCATGTTAAGTTGCCTTTTTGTCTAGCTGTAAATCCCATAAATTTTCCACTGCTGCTTCTATGGCATCTACCACCTTTAAAGATTTGTCCAAGGTCGAGGCCCATCTGCCAGTAATTTCTTTGGGATGTTTACACCCCCAGCTTCTCAAACAAACCAATCTCTCAATATGTCTTCTGGAATGTTCCGAAAAGAACAGAATTCTGCAAAATTTTCAGGTCATCTATCTATACTAATATAGACTCACTCTCCTTCCTTCTCTTATAGAGGTTGAAATGTCCCACAATTCTACTAGACTTTATATTATAGTGTTCAGGCAGGATCTTTTGAAACTCTGCCATACTTTTATCCTTGACTTGGGTGGCTGCAATATGAAAAGGACTTATGCAAGGGTGGAGGGCCAGATTCATTTTTGGAGATGTTCCGGGGGACTGCATACTACTGCTGGGTGGGACCAAAGGTGAAATTGCACAGGACTGAAAATTTTATCTAGTTATGTTTTTATGTTTCATTTTGGTTTTGAATGCCTGATGGAACTGATATTTTATGGTCATAAATCATCTTAAGGGTTCTTTATAGAGATGAAAGACTGAATAGAAATGTTGTATAAATCAATGCAAATGATGAAAAGATACATCATTCCTACAATGATTGGTAAATTTGGCTGGTTAGCTTGTTGTTCAGGTATTAATATTTTGTTGTTTCTAAATAATTGTGTAACAAAATATTCATGCATTACCCAGTTTTCTACATTTGTACCTCTAATACTTACCCTGCTTAAATTAGACATGAGCAGGTTCAGTCCCTGGGGGCTGGAAGAGCAGTGGGTTGACAGGTACAGTGGGTGGCAGATAAGTCCCCGGGACAGTTTTCAGGAAGGCTGGAATGGAAGAAGAGGGCCATTCCCTTTCTATCACTTGTGGCCATCAGTCTTATACTGCCCTTTCTTGCCACACAGGGAACAAGTAATTCTGCCCATCCAGGCTGCCTCTTGCAGGAGGCAGGGTAGATTTACTACTCAGGCAGTGGAGTGGGAGGAGCAGTGAACTGCATGCTCCCCACCACCTCACCAGGATGACTTGCCATCGCAGCAGGCTGCCACCCACTGCCCATCCCACTGCAGCCACTGTCCACTCTGTGAAACCCTGCAGACCAAGCATTATGGAAGCTCACTGAAGAGCAGTGCCAGATGGAAAGCTGCCCAGATGGAAAGCTGCCCTGGCTGCTGCTCAGAGAGCCAGCCAGACCTAAATGCCTGGTTCTGCGGCACCCTTCTTCAGAGCCAGGCACTGTGGGAGGAATGTCCCAAGAAATCGCCTATGGTGGGAATGCACAGGAAGGAAGGGAGACACATGAGGCTGGAATAAGAGTGGTTGGTAGGTGCTATTTGTGCCTCATGGCATCGTTGTTCCACTCCTATAAACTGAAAAGGTCTATGGTAAGGTCTATGACAAGGTCCACTGGAAAGTGAGGGTTTTCCAGCTAGCCATCAATGTCAAAAACTGTTCCAGCACCAACACCTCAATATGATTTACCTCCACTTTCACCTCTGAAACACAGAGTTGAAACATCTCAGGAAAATTTTGCAAAATGCCCGTCTAGCATCTCAGATTTGAACAACCCAGTTCTAAAGGGCTTTTAGCTGTAGGAAAGCAGCCCGAAAATGATAAGTGTTCTAGAGCTGAATTAAAGCAGGTAAAACCTTCACTAATTAATAGCATTGTACAAGCAAGCTTAGTGTGAACTAATAAATGCTTTCACTGTGTTTCATCTTAAAGGGACACATGGGTTTGTAGCACCTTTAATGGAAACTGTAAGTAAATACATATTGCTAAGCTACTTTAGCTCTCTGAAAACAGTAGGGTATTCAGGGTAGGGCTTTGGGGCAAAAATCCGAGACCCCACACAGAGGAATATTTCATTTTGAAGTCAACGAAGTAATACACAGTACCATTTAAGGATGGTACTTTGTCAGGTGGCTATGCTAGACCTTTTTATCCAGAGTCTAGAAATAACTAAGTGCACCACTGTGTATTTGCTTGCTTGCTTGCTTGCTGTACTGGAGGTTGCACCAGCAAGGCAGGGCTTAGCAACAAAATGTGTGTGGGTGCAGTGGCACCTGCCTCAGCCCTATGCCACCTCTGCCAATTTCTGTGCTGCCACCAATTTCCTTCCCCTGGCAGGACCACTGCCACTGATTTCTTCTCCATCCCCATAGCTTCTGTTGCACAGGGGGGAATGAGTGTGGCACCCATGGCAGGGGCAGGGACATTGTAGATGGGAGGGGGTGAGCATGACTGTGGGGGAGAAGGAAGAATCTGGGAGCATGGTGGTGAGAAGGGAGGAAACGAAATTGTGGAAATGAAATGCAATGAAATCAAGGAATTGTGAGGAGGTGGCAGAGCGAAGGACAAGAAAGGACTGTCAGTGGGGAGGGGGAGGGAGGGAACGGCATAAGAAAAGAGAGAATCCATGGAGAGAAGAGTGAAAAAGAGGCACTACTTGGCAGGAGGAGAGAATTACCTTTCCCCATGAGCAATGTGCTTCCAAGCCTGGAGGAAAAAAATAACAAATAGGCCCACAAGTCTGAAGGATTGCCTTCTTCATGAGTAGCCAATTCTGCCCTCCATGCTCTATCACAGGAGCATGTGGCCCACACACTTGTTCTTCAAGGTAGCCATCTTGGGCAGCATCCATTCAATGGGGGTGAGGATTTAACCACGCTTCCACCCAGAGATCCTATTCCAAACCTGTAGTAAGACCAGGTGGAGAGCAGGAACAGGTGTGACCACCTACCCCATGTACAGTGTGACCCTGGCTCAAGGGTGGTCCACCTCTTTTCAGTGCTCCCAGCTGCCCCCCAGCCCCCCTCCCCAGCTGCAGTGTCTGATTGGCTCAGGCTGCTGTCATCACTGATGTCACATAAGGTCAAAAAAGAGGTTCTTTCTGAAAGGATCCAGAGCAGGCCCTGCACGCCCATCTGGCTGGCCTCGGCAGTGCTTCCTCATGCCCACTGGGCAAGAAGGAGAGGAGAGTAAGAGCTGCCACTGCCACCACCAGCTGAAAAGAAAAAAGAAAAGGATCGAAGAAAGGAGGGAGCGAGAGAAGGCTGGGCTGCCATGACAGACAGTTGGTGATGTGTGAGCAGTAGTGAAGTGGCCACAGCAGGATCAGCAGACAGGAAGTCTGACAATGAGGACATTAATTAAGTAGAAGGTTGACTCTTCATTCCTTTTCTTTGGTAGAGTTCCCACTTCACACTAGCAGTTTAAATGGCCATCCTTCGCTGGAAGATAATTTGCATTTCTAATTAAAAGATAAAGGTTGCACTGCAGGTAGCTGAAGATCTCTTGTTAAAGCTCTCAGTGTTTTGCTAGTTGAATCTTTGCAGTAGAAGTGAGCACCACCAAGTTTAACCAACTTTCTTTTAAGGTAAGTTTGCAGGGGTTGCAGTCATGCCACATCGGCTTAACTTTGCATTTTTTAGTAGGGGTTGTTTGTTTGCTTTGGATGCCTATGTTTATGATGAAGTTTTTAACCAGAATATTAGATCCTTTGCTTATAAATAGTAGGAAAATTAAGGTGCATTTATCTATCTGGTGCAGACTACATTATAGACTATTGTCTAGAGCAGCGGTGGTGAACCTATGGCATGTGTGCTGCAGTGGGCACACAGAGCCCACTCTGTCGGCACGCGAGCCAAGTTGCCCCCACATCGCCCTGGCAGCTGCACATCAGATAACAGTGCACATAGGGGCCATGTGCATGCTCGGAAAGGAGTAGTGGCACCGAGCAATAATGTCACAAGCCGCAACTCATTAGCCGTGACTCATCTGAGTTTTTGCATGGCCGGTCAGCATGCTGCCAAGGATATGTATATGTTAGGACTGGCTGTGAGTTGTTTTTTCTAAACTAAACCCTCAGTATTCAGGTCTTATTGTAGTGTTGGCACTTTGCGATAAATAAGTGGGTTTTGGGTTGCAGTTTGGGCACTCGGTCTCTAAAGGGGTCACCATCACTGGTCTAGAGGATGGCTATGAGCCCTGTCATGACAAGCTCTTGCACTTGAAAAATTAGTGCAGAACACCACTACTGATGATTACTTGAGATAAAACCAAACATTGTCCTATAGGAAATGCTAAATATCTAGCTTGTCCATTCTAATACCTCCTTTAATGCTGTTTTACATTCCCTAAGAGCAAGAGCAATTTAATATGCAATTTTATTCCTGAATCTTTTGCATCTATACTACTACTAATTAAGAAGAGCAAAATCCTTGATAGACATAACAGTACAGTTTTCAATGCAGCCAAATTAAATGCCTTACTGATTTCAATGGGACAATTTGAAATGTTTATATAATTCTTCCCTTTTCAAATCAGTGGGTTCTAACCGCTTAATTATGGCTGGATTGTGTTCATACTTGATGAACTAGCTAACGCGCCACCTGGTGGCTAGCCTCTTATTAACTTTGGAATGGTACTGACTGGTTTTGCATCTCTGTAACCCCATTTATGAAACTACACTGGTGTAGGCAATACACCATATCACAAGCAATTTTTGAGTGTAGAGCGCTTTTCTGTCTCTGCTACTCTGCCACTCCCCCCCCCACACACACACACAGAGAATAAAAGAGGAATCAGTTCTCGGAGGGGTGGTCTGGAGAGCCAGCATAAGATTGTATAAACCAGAAGTTACACAAATACGTAATGAATATATGAACACAAACTGCACACATGCTACAGGACCCCCACTCCAAAGATATACAGAAATATACAATGTGGGGGATTCTAGATTTTTGAAACTGTGGTTGAGGAGATTTACAATCTAGACTGGCTAACCAGCAATGATAAACCCATTCCTTAAAACCCACAAAATCATATCCTTTTTTAATCCACCTCTCTCTTCAAGAGATTTTTCTTTTTTCAGTCAGTTATTAAATTGGTCACCACTTATGGCCAAAGATAACTTTAACTTCTAGGACTCAGATCCTAAATGTATTTACTTTGAAATATACTAACAATACAAATGTATGCTCAGAATTAAATATCACTGAGTTCACTGGGACTTGCTCAAGTATCTGTGTACAGGATTGGCAGCGTGATTTATCTTTCAAACACAAACAAACAAACACACAATACACAGGCACACATTTGCATACATATATTGCATACAGATAAGAAGAATCCATTGACTGTGTAATGTATGCATCCATTAACAATCTTGGTATAAATTGAATTAATCTTACAAATATATGCCTTATTTAGCCAATAGGTAAATAATTAAAATGGTAGTATCTATTTTTGAACAACTTATTTCACCTTAATATGATTTGTTAATGTTGATATGATTTGTGTACTTAATTTTTCCATTCTACTGTGGATTTAACAGATTTAATTGCTAATGTTTTGCATACTTATTCCGGAAAATGTCACTTAAGGGATTACAAACACAATCCTATGCATACCTCGGCAGAAATCAATCCAGTTGAGTTCAATGAGGCTTATTCCTAAGTAACAGTATATAAGATTGCTCCATAATTCACAATAATTTGTTAAAATAGCATGGACTGGGAACAGTTTGATGATCCCCCACCTGGCCCGTTGTGGGTTGGATAACATTGGAAACTTCTGCAGACCAGATGTTCTTCATCCTTGGTGTACAATAAAAGAAACCACAGTAGATCCTAGCAAAATTTTAAACCAGTTGTGGTGCAAGCTTGTTCATTCACAAAATAAAATAAAATAAAATAATACAACAAAACATTCTAAGTCCAGGATTTCAGCCTTATTTTCTCAATGGGTTCTTGAATCTTACTGCAAAATTTCATTTCCATTGAGCAAGCCCATCACCAATTAAACATCCACACTACTACTACCACCACCACCACCATCATCATCATCATTATCATGTCTAGCTTATTGTCAAATTCAGAACAGAAGGCTCTTCTGTTATTCATAAATCATACATTTCCCAAAGAAGTACAGTCAATAATCTCCTTTCTAGGGTGGCCATTTTTAAAGGACAATCCTTTATTTGAAGGGTTACCAGAGGACTGTCCTCCATTTTGAAGCTGTTTTCTATTTGAAGGACCATCCAGGCTAAGTCTATGTAGAGCTGAATTATTTATTTATTTATTTATTTATTTATTTAAACAACTTATATGCCAGCCCATCGCATGAGCCTTGGGGCGGCTTACAATCATAAAGTCCCACATAAAATAATAATTTAAAAAATCATCAAATAAATAAAATACATAAAATAAAATAGTGGACACAGCCTGGTCAATTTAAAATCAACAAATAAACCATTAACAGTTAAAATAGTGTTTAAATAAAAAGGTCTTTGCCTGGCGCCAAAAAAACAAATAAGGATAGTGCCAGGTGGACTTCTCTGGGGAACACATTCCATAGATTGAGCGCCACCGCAGAGAAAGCCCTCCTCCGGGTACTCACCCTCCTAATATCCTTTATGGAGGGTTCCCGAGAAGGGCCTCTGCCACCAATATCAGGGCTGCTCTCCAAAACACCTGGACCACAGACTGAGAAGGCGCACTGGTCACCTGGTCATAGTCTTCCCCATGATGGTGAGCTGTTCTCTGTTTCAATATAAGTTAAAATAACCATTTTAAATTTGCAGCCATACTTATAATTTCACACATGCACATGTGATATATATTAGGGCACCACTGAATGCCCTCCACCTGAGATACATGTAAGCCTCCAAACTTGGAAGCTTGTGTGCATTAGCTGTATGGAGCAAGACAGAGCAACTGTGATCTCGGTCGCTATTGTGCCTTGCCATGTACTTTTCAATCATCTTGATAAAGTACCAGGGAGGAAAGGCGGCTGTGGCACCAAAAGGAATTTATGTAAGCCGTTCAGCCTTGCCTCTTCATCTCACCTACTTGCCCTCTTGCATGCCTCTTTCTGTCTTCTCCCAGGCCCAGTTTCAACCTCAGGGAGGAAATCAGTTCAGTTCTTTCTGCATTGGCTGCAAGGGGAGCAGGTCATTCTTCAGAGCACCAGCTCTAAGGTCCCAGAACTTGAAGCTGGAGCTGCAGATAATCCTTTGGCCCCCACAGGCAACATTAGGAGGCCATAGAATGGTGCCCTTAGTCTCCTGTTTTGTCCCCTTTTTTTGGTGATTCCTAAATGGCCACCCGAAAGGCCAGTAGACACTGACCACAAGCTAAGCCCTTCCCCACCACAGTGTTTTAGACAACCTGAAGAATGCCTTGTTTTTCCTGAGGAGCACCTTAAGTTTTGGCCAAGCTACCTGTTTCTGAACACTCAATTTCTCTTAAATGGTACATTAAACAGACCTCCATGCTAGGCATGCATACCAGAGGTCCCAGTCTCTCACTAACTAAAATGCTGATCTGCACTGATAACATTGCCTTGGGAGGGATTTTAAACACATACTCCACATATAAACTGTTACAGTCCAATATTATATAGGTCTAAATTAGATGGGTAATTGCAGCTGAACCTGTTGAATCTCTTTGCCTAAGATGCCAACTGCAATTTAGAACGTCAGGTCCTCTGAGGAAACAATCCAGTGGCTTCTGGTGCCTTCCTGTGCGTGCACATGGACATCACTGGTAATCGCACCTTCGCAACACTGGAGTGAGTGAGAGCCAAGCCCGGCTTTTGAACCAAAAGACCAGACCACTGTTGCTTACACTGCTTGCCGTATAGTTGCAACATCTGGCCCAAACAGAGAGGCTAATCAGTGGCAGGGTGGTGAATTCTGAAATGCAAGGGGTTCATCATAATAGCACCCACACCATAATTCTTGACACTCAAAGGAACTGACATTAGTTAAAAACTCCCATCAAAATGCAGACATCCAAAACAAACAAACTTTAATCAATTTCACAACTAAACTAACAAGGCATGACTGCAATAATGCATATACTTACTTGAAAATCAGTGCTTTTGAATGTTAGACTGTAGTACATATTTTTCTTAGGGAAATGTAAAGTAGCATTAAAGTATGTTTCTAGTTATTTGATTTTTACCTCACCTTTCTAACAAAAAAAAAGACACTCAAGGAGGCTTACATATCAGACAGAGGCACTTACAGGTTAAAGTCCTTCTTGAATAAAGGGTCTTTGTTTGCTGGCTCAAGGAAAGCAGAGAGGAAGCAAATCTGGCTTCCTGAACAGTCTAGGACCAGCCACCCAAAAGGCCTTCTCTTGGATCACCATCAAACGCAACTCTGAAGATGGTGGTCCTGAAAAAAGGGTCCCTCTAAAGCTCTTTAGAACTAGGGAGGTTAGTAGGGGAAAGGGTGGTCTTTCAGATAGCTTGGTCCCAAGCCATATAGGGCTTTGAGTTCTTTGAATTCTGCCCCCAAACAGACCAGCAGCCAGTGAAGCAGCTGTTCTCCATGAAAATGGCTATGGTTAACAGTATGAAACAGCCCAGTTAACAGCATGAAAATGCTGTTAGGACCTGAGGACCTGACAAATGCTGAAAATCTACAATCTCATCTCCTTTGATGCATCAAATGTAGGAGCTAACATAGACAAGAAACGCCGTATTTTCAAGTTGCTTCTGGATGTGTGCCCAATTTTTGTCCTATTTTGTGCCTCATATTCCAAGTATTGTGCTTCTGCCATTTACTTAAGTCTTGCTGAGTCCAATGGGGATTTTTCAAGCATTAGGGAAGAGTGTCACCCCTTAAAATAACTCTTTAGGGGCACAATCCAGTGAGGCTGCTCCTAACCCTACCTTTCAAACGGAGAAGATTACAGGTTGCCTCTGGGCTCATCTTGTCATACAAAACACATCAACAGCCTATTTCAGCCATGTAAATATTCAGCATCGGAGGAGGTGGGAGGGAGGGTAAGGCACCAGTAGGGTACTGTGTATGCTGGCAGATTCTGTTGTCTCCTCTTCCTGCCACCAAAACCCATCTCTGAGTTTTCTGTGCCAGTTGTGAGGGTGGAGGCAGGCCTCTCCAAATTTGGAGTCCCCACTCTGACCTGGGTGCAAATTGCTGAGCCTGAAAGATTTATTCAGAACAAATTATGGCCATCTAAACTCTCTCTAGCAGCCATAGGATTGTGTTGTTCATTGTTTAAATGCTCAATACACTTAAGTCAAGTTGTCATGTGTTTCAACCCACTGTGCATTGCAGGATTCGTGACACAAAACTAGCAGAAACTTTTGCATAGGTTTGTAGGAGATATAAGAATGTGAATTTTGTGGGGTTTGCCATGCACAAAACTTTGGCATAGATTTGGAGGTGATATAACAATGTTTGTATTCATGGGAATGTGCAGCCATGTGTGTGGATCAGCTGCAAACCTACATCTGATTTATCAGTACTCAGTTCAGCACAAAACTCAGGCTCAAAACTGGTACAGAATTTTGGCATATGTTCGGAGGAGATGCTAAATGAGCTAGGGAACTGCTCAACAGAGCCCAAAGAAAAAGCTTTCCAAACACAGTCTTTCTCTCTTTCCCACTACACTGCTCCCAATGAAGGTTGGTCAATGTATAGCTAAAACAAGATGGAAACTGAAGTGAAAACACCTCTCAAAGAGATGAAATGCTGCTGAAACTCTAAAGCAAGTTGTCTATCTTGCTGTTCAAGCAGCAGCTGAAAAGAAGCTGAGTGAAAAGCCATAGCTTCTGGGTGTGTGTGTGTGTGTGCGTGCAAAGCCTGTGCTCTGGTCATAAAACGTTGGTTACTATTCACTTTTTAAGGCACCAGTTCACATTTTCCACTCTTTTAATCTGCTCTCATTTCTAAGTATTTTCCTGAGATGTTGCCTATCATAGATGTGAGGAATGTTTCATTGATAAACCAACACTAATCGTTTTCAGGCAGCTATTTTCCTAAGCCTGCAGCTTGTAATATAAAGTTTCTTGCAGCTGAAAAGAAGACAGCCAATTCTAGTGCCATATTTAATAGTTCATAAGTCAAATAAAGTTCAAATGGATTCAGAGTTTAAAAGTTTAAAAGTTTTGCTCAAGCTTTAAAGTTTAATTTAGCCAGAGGTCTTTAACCATGCATGTGCCCACACCCCTCTTCCAGTCTGGTGTACTATACTAAACTTTATACAGCTCAAGCCTATGCATATTTACTCAAGCCTAAGTCCCAATGAATGGAGGGGGACTTACTCCCAGGTAAGTGCACACAGGATCACACTGTTAATAAACACATAATTGCTTCTATAGGTTTTATTCTTTCCAGCAAAGTCTTGGCTCTCCCTCGTGAACCCTGGGTGTACCTTGCAAGAGACACAGGAGCCTCTGCTCGAGCACAGCAGCATTTCAGAATGGTACATTCCAAAAAGATCCAAATTTTTAAAATCTCAAAGCTAGACATTTATATCAGCAACAGCTTAGTTAAACCACTAAAGATGGAACCTTATGCAGGCTGAGTCAGAAAAAAGGCCTACATCTATATCATGCTAGTTGGGACATGCTGGGAGATTTTTTTCATCTTACCATGCAGAGGGTTGCACCTTTAATTTTCAAACAGTGCCAGAATCCCATCATGGATGGGCACCAGTTGTACTACAGGGTGTGAAAAAGACAGAATTCCAAAGGTTGGGTATCACCACTATAAAGGCCCTTCCCCTGGTTTCTATCAATGGTCATGGGTAGGCAACAGAAAAACCAGGAAGCCCTGATCTGTAGATCTCAATAAGGAAGGGGGCACTGCCTCAAGGTAACCTGATCTCAAGTTATTTGTCCTTTATTTATGAGAGGAGCAAAGCTATCATGGCAACATGTATAATAAAAAGAAAAACAATACAACCAATGATAAGGAGACAACTCATTAAGAGTATTAAAAGAAGTAACAAGAATTTAGCATTTAGGACAGATAAAGCTCATAACAGAGAAAATGACTTTAAAAAGCAGAAGTACACATAGTAAAAAAATAAAGCAAGCAGCTGTTTAAAAGGTATGGAGAACAAAAAAGACAAAGGCATCAGTTGGGATTTCTTTTTGAGGGGCATTTTACAGTTTGGTGGGTATTGCAGAAATGGCCCCCTCACAACTAGCCACCCAACAACTCTTACAGTGTGTGGGAACTCAGCTCAGTGGCTCAGATGATGCGCTCACTGCACAGGTAGGAATGTATGGGAAGAAGAGGTCCTTTACATGCTGTGGCCTTAGACCATGAAGGATCTTTTGGGTTAACCCTAGAACTGGGCCCAGAAACAAACTGGGAGCCAATGAGTTCCATTACACTGGTATAGCAGGGTCAGGCAATCCTAAGTGCTATATTTTGTACTAACAAGACTGTCTTCAAGAGCAAGCCCACATACATTGCATTGTGGTAACCCAGCCACAAAGTTTGCAAGGCATGAATCCAGGATGCTACTTTGTAATTGCTGTGCATGGGGCCGCAAACCATGTTTAAAAACTGAAAGAACACAAAGAGGTATGGCTTTAAGCATATTAGCTCAGAAGGAAACCCAGCGCATGGAAAAGGAAATAGCCTGCATGTCTTTCTGAATCAGTTTGTCAGATATATTTATGTTCTAAGTTGCTGAGCATCTGTTTAAATCAAGCCATTGAAACTCAATACACATAATAAAGTATGAGCACTATTGATTAATGTGTACTGTGA